TTTAACTGAGAAAAGGAAATTTCTGATTTTTTGACCTAGCAAAATCGTCAATTGGTTTAAGGCATAATCTAAAGATCCCAATTGCATAATTTTGACCTAATGGCATGGTTCAAAACATTCCAAGCCCATTGGATTGACAAATGAATTTTCCAGTCAATTGATCAAAAGTCAACTGTATACTGAAAAGTCAAACATTGACTTTTTGGTCAAATTCAAGTGCCAAAGATTATAATTCATCAAAACGTTTCAAAATAGGAAACTTATTCATCAAGAAATCAAGATTTCATTTTGAAAAGTCAAAATTTCTAAACTTAGAAATTTTTCTAAGTGTCAAAAATTTCTTATTTTTTCATAACTTTAAGCAATTTTTTCATTATGATGAAAGATGATTCAAAGGAAACTTCCAACATGAAAGTTGTAGATCTACATGAAATATACAACTTTTCTTCACACAACTTCTCGTAAAAATGCTTGTATCTCAAGTTATAATTTTATGAAAACATGCTCATGAACTAAAAAAGACTTAGTGAAATTTTGCCCTAGTTAGGCAGATTTTTGACCTAACTTCATGGAAATGTTTCACATAGTTCCAAGGGGATTCTTCAAAATAAATTCAAATACGAGTTGAAGAGAACATTGCAAGCTTTCCAAAATGTCCAAGAAATCCTTGAGCTCATTCCTGAGCAAGGAGAATCGAAGGCAAGAAGTTGGTGTTTTGTCACTTGGATTACAAGCCATTTTGTGAAGAACACTTGATCCAATCTTCAAGCATGCTATACAAATCTTGCTTTGCCGGCTTCAAACTTTCTAATCACTCAATAATTTAATGCTTACACAACTAATAGAGCCATTGTCCAAGCATTTGAGCCATTATCCAAGTTGCATTTCCATTTTTGGAAGAAAGTCACCACTTCCATTTTAGAAAAGTGACTTTAATCACAATGTCAACTCTTATTGAGCCCATACATTGTTGTTTCTGACTCAAAAGCATTCAAAAGCAAAAAGCAACATGCCTACAATTTGCTAACCACCCTGCAAACCCTTGTACTCCACATTGAAACCATGTTTTTCAACTTTGCTTCAAAAACAAGTAACCAAGCCATAACATGTGATTTTCAACTTCTGAGTTGTTTCAAGCCTCAAAACCTCTTGCCTATAAGTAAAAACACTATTTGCAAGATGACACACGGATTCTAGTGCCCTGAAACTATCTCAAACACCCAGAAACCATAAATCTGCCCAAGAACACTATTACTACACAATTTTAAACCAAAACTCATCATCTTCATTTCCACTCGTGCGTTTTGAAAACTAATAATTCAAACACCTTATATACACTATACCAAAGCAATCCTGGCCCTTGTTTCAAGACTGTAATTCCTTCATCACTATCCACCATTTTCAAATATCAAGCTTGCAGGTTGACTTGAATAGAGAGATTCAGGGACTTTCAAGGAAAAGTAGGAGTTGGAATACACTCAAGGAGGTCCAGGCAAGCTAAACAGATCCTCAGGCCATCGCAAAAGTTGCTCAAACTCCATTCATGACTCCAGCTGTAAGAGGTAAATTTTCAAACTTCTATCTCTTCATACAAGCATCATTTGATCCTGATTTGTGAAGACAAAATGTAGATATCTTTGCTCTAAAGTCAACCATGTTCATAGTTCCCATTTATATTGACTATGTATAGAGAATTTTGGATTTGAAATTTCTGAGAAAATTAGGTTTCAATTTAGGGCTAGCAAAATTAGTTTTTATCTTTAACTTTTAGCTTGCATAAGTTATATGGTTGGATTCGTGGGAAGAAACACCACAACTTTAATGTTTGAACTTTCCATTTTTGTGGAGAGATGAGGAAGATACAGGTGGTCCGGCTAGGCGCAAGGTTGAAGACGAAGTTGCCTTCAGAAACCAGTTCTAATATATATTTATGGTTTGGTTATATGACCGGATGAAACAGCCACCCCAGTGGCAATTGCACGCGTACTAAGTCACTTCTTACATAAAGGGCGGGGGTTCGAACCAATGTGAACCCCCCTTTTTGCATTTTTCATATTTTCTGATTTTTTCTAACATTGTTTGTTTTTGTTGCAGGCGCTGGGCGCTTTGGGCCTGACATTGTTTTTTTAATAACTCACCTCCCTGCCTACTTTTGGCACCCCCTGGCCCATTTATTTTTATTTACTTATTTATTTCATTTTTTATTTTAATTATATTTTCTAAAATACTAAAAATCAAGAAAAATACAAAAATGATACATTTAATATTTTGACTTATTTTTATTTTATTTTTTCCATGAACAAAAATATTTTATTTACTATACGTTATTTATTTTTCTTATAAACATAATTAATATTATATTATTTATTTTTCTTCATATCATTTAAAAATATATTATTTAAATATCAAAAAAAAGACTAAAAATATTTTTTAAAGCTATAAATATTTTCACGATAAAAGTGCCAAAAAATACTTTCCTTAAAAATTATTTTCTTTTGGCTAATTATTAGAATTAGGGTTTTCTTTTAAAAAATATTTTTCTTAATAAATTCAATTTTAATTATTTATTTTCTTTAAATTAGGTTAAGATAACAAAGGTCTTTCTTTATGAAAATCAAACAAAATTCATCTTATTTATATTTTTATCCTTATATATTTATCCATCATTATACTTTGCATTTATGCAATTTTTGTACATATTCAATTTGGTTGTAATAGATTAATTAGGTTTATATTATTGCAATCCTCATTCATAAATTTTATACCCCCTTCCCACAAATGTTGTAATAGCGTAGTAACTTTAAATTTCGCAATTTATCGTTTTTACATAACATGCTAGTAATTAGGATTTGTATGGAAAGAATAAAATCAATCAAGTAGAAAACCCTAATTCAAGACAAAATCAAGCATGAAAACAACACACTTGCACACATTCACCCCTAGGGTAAAATCCACTTGGTTGCCTTATAAAATGGCCATATTATGCATGTGAAGTATCTTAGAAAAAACAAACAAAAACAAGATCATAGTCCCTCGATGACGCTATCTAAGTTGCCTTACGAATGATCTTAGTCCCTCAAAAAGAAAGCTAAGATACCTTGCAACATTGCTAATCATGGCTATACGGTGACCCATGCCCGTCCCGTTTACATCCAAAGATAGGGTTGCTTACCAAATCAATTGTAAGACAACAATGTCAAAAGAAAAGAAATGAACAAGAAATACATTTGAGTAAGTAGATTGCTCCTAATTACCTGCTTCATTTCAAAACAAACATCCTTGCTATTTTCAAAAACAAACACACACATTTTCAAACATCTTACAAACATTGAAAACATTTTCAAAAGATCAAACATCTTTGTATACATTCTTACGAACGAGAATCATTACAAAGATTGCCTAAACAGTGGCCTCTTTACAAAATACTTTCAAAAACCACACAAAGCACAATTTCAAACAAAAGCAAGTGATCTAGCAAGTAACTAAGAGCCCAAGGATAACCATGGATGAAAAGGGTGCTAATACCTTCCCTTTTCATAATATACTCCTCAAACTCAAGAAATAATCTCAAAGGTCTTTTCTGTGCTTTTTCACCTTTCATTTTGGATAAAAGAAAAGTCGGTGGCGACTCTTGCTAACCTCAACATTTGCAATCAAATGCAAAACCCTCAAGTCTGTTCTCCCATCGTATCACACATCGCATTCATGCATTGTGATGAGATCAAGAATCTTTATTTCTCTACAAGCTATGGAGTTTGGTTGTATTGCCAATCAGCCCAATATGGGGTTCCTCTCCTCATTACTTTGATCATTCAGGTTACCAAGGCTTCTCAAAGTTAATTAAATAGGGGCAACTCTTGTACCCTAAATTTCGTCCCTAATTATTTTAGTCGCACTTTCATATCATATTTTATTATTTGGTCACAGTCATTAATAAATAATTTCATTCATCACATTTGTGTCATCCAGTCGTGTTTAAGCTGACCAAAAGTCAGTTTAAATCGACATTTGCATCGTTTTGCAGTTGTAAAATATCTGACATTTCACTTCATGTATTTTCATCTGTTTACTCTTTTCTTGCATTGCTCCAAGTTGTTTATATGTAGATAATAAAAATATTTCAGTTTTACAGGCAGTCTGTTAAAAGCGATTCGACACTGTACGAAAAATTAGCAAGAAAAATATTTCAAGTTTTCACCTTTTACTGATCATTTTATGAATCTGTGTTTCACGTAGATTATGACGGTATGCTCGCTTTAGTTTTTGGTACAGTTTGAAGTCTCGGTTTTAACGGTAAACGTATGTTCAGCCTGATATTTTTATTCTCATTTTATTTCGATTTTGAATTTTTGAATATTTTTTCTTTAATCTTTGTGACATGTAGTTTATTTTAATGTGTTCATTTTATTTTTTTGGATAAGTTTTCGTCCGTTTTTATCGTTTTCGGTCATTTTAAGTCTTTATTTTTTATTCATAAAAAAATAAAAAAAATATATTTTAAATTGAGTTATTTTTTACACTTTCAGGTTTTTACCATATTTTTGTCATTAAAGGCTATTTGGTCACACAAAAAATATTAAATACACCATGCTTGACTCTCATTGGTTGTTGACAGAATTTATGGATTAATACATATTGAAGATTAATGGACGAATCAGATTAATTAGAAATCATAATTCCCTCTTCATTTCCCTATTTAAAGTCCTCTTATTTTCTTTGAAAAACACAACAAAAACAATACAACAAAGCAAGCTAGCAGTAAATACCCACCCCTCTCAACTCTTTATCCTTTCCTTTCTTCCCAATATAGTAAAACTCCATGCCTCTGTTTCACTTCTCCTACCACCAACATTCATTACCCACCTCCATCTAACTCTCTCATCATCACCCAAATATCAATTCTGTCAAACCCTTTCAACGTCCCAATTTCAATCTTAACTCCCTCTCTCCGCGAACAGCTACAACACTTATGTTTCTCCATCTTCAACCACAAATCAACCATGGTTATCCCTATTTCCACCACTAGCATCCCACCTCCACTCCAACCAAGCCACCACTCTTTTCCTCCATCAATTCCGTACAACGTCCATAACAACCAATCAACCTTCATCTTCTGTTCACCTCACAAACAACAATTACCGGCACCGCCCTTTCACTTCTCCATCAAAACAGACCCACACGGTCCTGCCATCACAAACTGCAATCCAGGATTTCCAGAGCCTCCCTCAACAAATCAGCCACCATTGCAAACTGCCTCATTACTGGTCTTCCTCTCTGCAAGCATTGCTCCAGCCGGTACTACCTCTGTCGGCATCGTATCACACCTACGACTTCGACACTTTCTGTTCAGCAACAACACTTCTTCTGTCAAGTTGGTAATTTCTAATATCCTTACTTTTAATTTAATTTATGGAATTGCTGCAAATGTGATAAAAAACTGTTGATAAATTTGGTTTGTTATTGTGTTGATATCGCGATTTATCGGATTGTTTTGAAAAATAAATTGGTGATGCGTTTATTTGATAGTGTGATGAAACTATGGATAGATATTATTTGAATTTAGTGTTGACAATTTATTTGTTTCATGAGAAATCTTGTATCAAAAAATTCTAGTTTGTTCATGTTAAATTGTGATGAAGAATTTGTTACGGTTATGTTGTCCGGATTTGGTTTATTTGAATAATTCTTGAATTGAAATCAATTTTTCATGTTTTAAGTTAGAATTGAATATTGGCATGAGTTCTTTGTTTTTTTTTCTTCGTTTCATTTGTGAATTAAGAATCATGATAATTTTTTAATTCCATTTTGAATTCAATTTCTCATGTTGCAATGTGAACTCTTGATTTTTTTTCCGTTGTGGTTGAAATAGCGATTACTTTTGAAATAATGTATGCAATGCTGTTTTTTTTGTGTGTTTACATTGAATAATATCATGAATTCTGGATTTTTATTTGTGTAAACATTCATGTGCATTCATACAATTTCATTTTGATTTTATACTTACTAACACATATTTTAATCATTGCAATTTCATTCATTTTATTTTTATACCGCTTATACTACTAAAGAGTTTGTTTACTGTGAAGGTTTCTGAAAATCGTTTCTAGTATCTATTCTCACCTAGAGCATCCATAATTCCTACACTTCTCCCTTTACTTTTTTATTGTATTTCACTATTTTGATTTAATATTTGGTACTGTAAATATATACTTGTACATAATATTTTGGCTGTATATTTTATTCAATTCATTTGTAAATAAATTCAGGTTATGTAAATATTATTTTCACCGCGTTGCGATTTTAAATTTTAATTCAAATTAACTTCTGAAAATCATACAGACGCATATAATTTTTCCCGTGCTGTTAGTTTTGTCTGTATATTCATGTGATGCAGGGAATCATATACCGTGAGCTTTATTCGATATGTGGAGCCTTATCCAGTACCATGAGCTTTATCCATGCTTTCTTCATCCGTGATTTATTTTCACGCGTTGTGATTTATTGCGCTTTATTCGCTGCGTGGAGTATATTCTTACATCTGGTTTTTTGATGCTATCAGCTTATGATTTATTCTCACCCGAGGTTTGAAATACTCTTAGTTTATTTTTTGTCTGTGGCTTTAAACCCAAAGGGATGGGAATACGGTATTGACTTCATCATGTCAAGTACTGGTTTCTTATTTGCTCGGATCCTCTTAACCTTAACTTTTACCCTCTTGTACATAGGAAACTCTTTTCATTTTTCTCCCATTCTTTAATTTTCAAAACCTTCTCATCCTTTTCAAAATCTTCTTTGTTTATAAACTTGAACCGCTTTCATAATAAACCTCGACTTTGTCGAGTGACTTTTCTTTTAAAACTTCTTTTCTTTAAACAAACTTCAATTCATTTAATCATACTTTGACATCTTTCAAATTAACAAAAAAACACTTCAACTCATTCAAACCTTTTTGTGTGCTCGAGCACTTTTACCCTTCAAACCTTTTTTCAAGATGAGACATGATTCATTGATAGTCGAGCAACATTCTCCTATCCCCATGGTTATACAGGTGTCGACTTTTCCACTTGAATACTTGAGGTGTTCTTAAACCCTCACTCTTGATGACGCGGGGTCCATCTTTCCCACACCTTGTGGATGTTAGTCGAGATTTCTCTCCTAACAATGACAACTTGTCTCCTTGTTTAAAATCAACCAATAGACAAGTCTTTTCTTTCCAAATCACTACGGTGCTACTTGTTTGGTATTTACGATGCTCCCTTAGGATTGCTCGATTAGAGTAGCTTTCGAGCCAAACATTAAGATAGATATCCATGCATGCTAACATAGGGTAGAAACTTCCCTCTTTTCATCCTCAACCTTAAGGCCAATCATTTTAAGATAACATTAGGGATAGAGATTAATATAGTCTCCCTTAGTTATTTTCTTTTCCTTTGCATTCTTGCATCTTAAAACTAAAACTTTTTCTTTGCAAATCGTACAATATCTCTAATAAACTTAAATCCTTCTTCAAGGTAAAAAATACAAACCAATCTTATTTGTTTGTGCGCCTCTTGGCTTTGTTTTAAACTGATGTTTTGCCATCCTTGCCATGACTTTTTTTGTTATCTTTCAGATGATGTTTCACCATCGCACATTCTTTTAGCTGATGTTTCGTCATCGCACATTCTTTTAGCCGATGTTTCTCCATTGCACATGTTTGTTATTCTACTTTGATTCTCAATATCATTGTTAGGTGTGATGTTTTATCATCTGGTTTATTGATGTTTCTCCATATTTTCCATGTTATCTTCCTATCTCTTAGCCGATGTTTCGCCATCACACATTCTTTTAGCCGATGTTTCACCATCGCACATTCTTTTAGCCGATGTTTCGCTATCGCACATGTTTGTTATCCTTCTTTGATTCTCAATATCAATGTTAGGTGTGATGTTTTGTCATCTGGTTTATTGATGTTTCTCCATCTTTTCCATGTTATCTTCCTATCTCTTAGCCGATGTTTTGCCATCGCACATTCTTTTAGCCGATGTTTCACCATCGCACATTCTTTTAGCTGATGTTACACCATCTCACATGTTTTTTATCCTACTTTGATTCTCAATATCATTGTTAGGTGTAATGTTTTGTCCTCTAGTTTATTGATGTTTCCCCATCTTTTCCATGTTATCTTCCTATCTCTTAGCCGATGTTTCGCCATCGCACATTCTTTTAGCCGATGTTTCACCATCGCACGTTCTTTTAGCCGATTTTTCTCCATCGCACATGTTTATTATTCTACTTTGATTCTCAATATCATTGTTAGGTGTTGTAGTGTTAGAAATGTTTAAGACTAAGCCGTTGGATTGACTAGACTTATATAGATCAAAACTAAAAATTTCCACCGCGCTTTATTGTTTCCAAAGGAATGGGAAAATAGTGATTAACCCAAAAATAAAATATCAAACCAAAAAAATATGGGTCATCTGATCAATGTCAAAACGCGTTAGTAAATAGATCAAGTGGACCTGGAGCGCTGTGCATGTTATGGACTTTAGTGAATAAAGCACTCAATCATTAATTAAATCAGATTTCAAAAAAAATAAGTGGCGCGCCCTCATTGGTTGGAAGATGACACATTGGCCATCTTTAACCTCCAGCCAACGTGAATTGCAGGTCTCTCAAACTGTAAAATCAGAAGCTCAGACCTTTGCCATTCGCTTCGTCTCTTCAAGATGAAGACAACCACACCCTCGCGACAAATTTATATAAATTGTAGCTCAAGCAATTTGGAAGGAAAGTTTTGAAAACGGATTTGAAATTTCATGGTCAAAAAGTGTTTCCAAATAAAAGTAAGTGTTGTGACTAGAACCAGGGCAATGAGAGCTTCATAATGATATCAAAGTTTTGAATAATTGATGGAGGGATCTACCTATTGATATTTAGTTGCAGAGCTTTGAAACTGGACTTCTATGGAGCAATATAGGGCACGATTCTTGAAGGTAATTGTATGGTTAGCTTCGGGGAAGATCAAGGAAGGTGAATTGATAGAAAAATTGGATTGAAAAAGGCTTGAACATTGATTTCGAAGTTACAGAAAATTGAGTTATGGAGCAAGTTTGGCAGGGTGATTCTGGCTATTGAAGCTTGAGGAAATGAATGAGGGATGACCCTCTATTTATATGGAATCAAATGGAATGTTCAAGCGTGTGAAATGATGAAGTTTGGAGGGAAATCGTGTGAAGTTGCAAACAAGAAAAGTGTGACTTCTAATTTGATCAAAACTCATCCAAAGCGTGCGGTTTGCTATGCTAATCACTTCTGGAAGTTCACTAAACATGTTTAGAAGCAAAAATGCGCAGAAACAAAGTGTTTAGAAGCTAAATCAATGATTTCAAAATCTGACCTTTGAAGAAACTTCAGTTTCAAGTTACCAAGTTCAAACCAACGGCATTCTCAGCTCAAGGGGTCTTAGGGCATGATTCTTGATGCTATAGAAAGACGAGGTTACAAGCTTTGCAATGGGAAAAGAATGGAATCAAATGGATGTTTGAGCTGAAAGTCACAATCAGTCAAAGTTGGGGAAAAAAGGTTGACTTTCCATACTTAGAAATATTTCAGGTTTTTCTTCAAAAGTGACCTATAATGTTTTGCATCCAAACATGGACTTCCAATTGGAATTTTCTCTTGACCAAAAAAATATGGAATGAAATAGACCTCTTGATTTAAATTTTGAAACTTGAACCATTCAAAATCTCCAAAAATTGAGAGAGTTATGAATTATTGAAGTTGGCAAAAAAATCAAGAAATGACCTATAATCTTTTGTATCCTTAGGGAATCTTACATCCATTTTATCACTTTGTACATAAAAGAAGGCATAAAGTTCACATCATCAAGATCATTATGGAAAAAGATTGGGCTCAAGGTGATAAAAATTGACCAAGTTATGATCATTTGAAGTCAAGCATGAGAAATTGGGGGTTTATCTGGAGGACTCGTAACCTTTCTTCATCATCAAGTTTCTTCCACATGAAAAATCCTTGAAACTTTTGAAGTGATTTGTTTATAATCCTTTTAAGGGAAGGATGTGTTTGGAATCACTCAAAAATACCAAAAGATGAGCAAGATATACTTCTTTGAAGTTCAAAACCCTAGCTCCTAGATCAAGAAAATGCTTTGAGGAACTTTGACAATTGTGAACAACCTTCTTGTACCAACACTCTTGCTTTGTAAATAGAAGTTGTTGAGGATGATAATTATAGTTAATGGCAACCAAAACCACTTCCATATCCTGAGAATTGATAGAAATATGCACTTGTGACCAATAGGAACAAGACCTTGTCCAAACATGACAACTTCTTCAATCAACCCCTTGTACTTTTGAATCAATCTTGATAACTTTGAAATATGGTGAACCAAGATAAACCTTTCCATGCCAATTCTTCCAACATAAATTTAATTATGAGGTTTAAACTTCTCAAGCTTTATTGACTAGGGTATGGAAATAAACTCATGAACCCATGGATCAACTTGCTAAGCAACATTTCCTTTACCTACATTATTAACAAGTAAGACAAACAAACATTGAATTTTATTAATTAAAAGGAAAAGTCAAAACAAAACATGAATATTCACAAAATAAAAACAAGTCAAGGTGCTTGGTGATTCCTCAAAGTGAAAAGCTAAAGATAGGGAGGAGAACCAAAAACCCTAATGTGATCTTGTTGTGATTGAATCAATATGGTATGATGAAGAGATCTTAGGGGGGGGAAATTGGGGTACAACAGGTGCCCTTATTTAAGTTTCTTCTATATGGAGATACGAAGGTTAAAAATCTTTGTGTCGACACGATCGAAGACACTTAAATATAAAACAAACCCTATTTGTGGCCCTAAGATGCCATGCAATGCTTATGAGTATGAATGCATATGAACAACTTCAAAGGGACGAAAAACACCATTGGGGATGTAGCAAAGGAAATAAGGAATCAAAAGAGAAACCCGACCAGGAAAATAAATCATTGGTGGATCAAAAGACCCTACTCACAGAGGATGGTAAAAAGGTCAAAGGATACACCAACTTTTACTGAAGGCGGAACTATCAATGTTCACTGAAGGTAGAAAGAGAAAAGAA